CATTGCTTTATAAATTATACTTTACATAATCTATCACCTTTCTCATTTGTAATACATTTTAATAAATCTTTGCAATCACAATAAGGTAAAATATATTTAAGAAACCAAAAGTCAAGATTTTTCTAAAATCAATATAAGAAAATCGTTATATTTGTTGGAATTTTTGTTGGAATTTTCTCATTTTCTTGTAGTAAAACTAAGACTCCAAATCTATACAAAAAAATGCATTATATATAATATTGTGTGCAACTATTATTATGAAAAAATATTATACGATAAAAAATATAACACATTCAATGTAATTGGCGTTCAATTTATGATAAGAATTAATTTTTTTCAAAGAAAACAATATACTTTGAAAAGTCCTTAATTATTTCATTAGTATTGTAATAACTAAATAAAGGGTAAGAAAGATGACAAAACTTATAACTCTCATTAAATCCAAAAAGAAAAATGCTGATAAAATTACTTAATGTACAATATCAATTGGAGTTGGCTAATGATAAATATAAAACATACTTAAGATACACATATATTTTAACTAGAACTTTTAAGTACATAATATATACATACACACACACACACACACATATATATATATATATATATCTATATATTCATATGTATATTTCTTCAAAAGTGGGTCTGTTAATCTTAAATTTTTTAGTTAAGATTTTTATTATTTTCTATCATTAAATTTTTTTAATTTTCAAATACTTCATATTTTTTATTTGTTACCTTTTTATATGTAATATATCACATCATTTATTTTCAATGATGTTTGAGTTCACCCATATATTGCAATAAAATAAATATAATATAATTATTTATATTGATATAAAATAATATATATATATATATCAGTACTAATTTAAAATAATAAATTAGTCTTAAAGTATCTAATATAATAAATTTTATATTCAAGTTAAATCAATTTTATTAAGTATAAAATAACATAAGATAAACTTGTGGTATGTTTTCCATACATAAATTTGAAATAATTCATATTAAAAAAAAAAGTAAAAAAAAGGGTGTAAACTTATAACTGGTCCGACGTTTTGGCTAGAGCGCCCAAATCCGATATATGTTTGACACGAGTTTGTCGTAATGCTGACACTATGGCAAATGCACCTTAGGATACAAAAGAAGCGAAGCAATGTGAAGTAATAGATAAAAGGAAAAGCTAGGCCAGAGAAAGGAAATGAAATAACATCAGCTATGTGAAGTCAAGTCAATTACTGCTGCAAAATGAACCCTATAATGGTGGTACCATATATGTATTCAGTGATTATGAAAATGACTTAGTTAATTAATATTTTATCAAACATTGAAAAAAATTCTAAAACTTTTTAATCTAATAATTCGTATAAAAAGTACAATTTTATCAAATATATTAAATTACATTTAATCTTATGTGATTATATTAATTGTAGCCTAATAAATAAGATAATTTGATACCATCATTATATAAAACACATACAAAAAATAACATAATACGTATAAATGTGCTTTAGTTACTTAGCAAATAAAATATTATTTGTCTATAGAATAAGAAACAAATAATATAATAGTAATGCAATGAGAAAAAGAAAACATGCTAATTTTCTTAGAAAAGTATGAATACCAATATTTACAAACAAAAAGTCTTTTAAAATTACTACTTTTTTTTTGCTAGCGTTTAAATATATGGACTCTGTAAGAAATTGGTTCTCATAAATAATGATCATATATTATTTATTTTCAATTTTAAATAATTAAAAAATCTAAAAAATCGTATACATGATGTATATTTTAATCATGACTTCATAATAATAAACTTTACAAATGACTAAAAGTATCGTCATATAATGGAATTCTAATTCTTCTGTTGTCAAATATTTTAATAATATATGCTTCTTAATATTTTCTCATTGTTTTGTTTTATCATTGCAAAAAATAGATTATATTGTTTGTCTATATTCTAGATAAATAACACTGAAAATGAAATGTAGGAGTATCAAAAAAGTTTTGAATGTTAGAATTACTTTGTCACTTTTTATAGAAATATTTATAATCTCATTGGTGTATTATGCTTGAACATATGTGCAATTACTTTAGAGGTACTTTCAGGTGATGTATGATGATTTCAAAAAATAATTTAGCACCTCGGGAGAAGTACATGTAACCAAGATTTTGGAAAGTCAATTTTTATTTGGAGATAAAATTCATTCCCACCTCGTGGGCGATGCATCAATGGGGTAGACACCAATATATCTAGAGATAGAGGAATGTAGTAGTTTATACAGTGATAAAAACTATCAGCAATTTTAGTGATACCGTTAGTTATTTCATATAGATATTTATCATTTGTTAGTAGAAGTACCTTGTTATAAAGATCATACGATCATGAAGTTTGACTATATGCTGGGTCAGAATGTTTTTTAAGTGTTTGAATAAATAGGCGTTTTTCCAAATTAATTAAGAGGAATTTTGCAATAGTATTGATATATTGGACTCCAACCACTATGAATGTTCTTATGAGAACGTTAAAACTAAAATGAAAGAAAATCTTTGTGTTTTTTTATTAGGAATTTGTTTTTTTATATATATTTTTGTTGGGGTTTGTAAAACGTTATTTCACTATTTTTATATGAAGATCATCATTATTTAATTCTAAATAAAAAAAATCACATATGAGTTCATTTTTTCTATATTTTACTTCATTTATACAATGATATGTTTAATAAATAAATAAATTTATTTTACAAACTTACTCCACGAAAATTATTCGACGCCACGTGCATCGCACGTGCACTTTACTAGTATACATATATGTGTGTGTGTGTGTGTAGAGGAGAGAGAGAGAAAGAGAGATAGAGAGAGAGAGAGAGAGAGAGATGCAACTGCCGAAAGATGCAGATATTTTAACTGCAATTGGAATGTTAACTGAAGACTAGGAATGATTCACATCAATGTAATCTAGAATAAGAAATAGGTGTATTTGAAGATGCAATAACATATAGAATTATATGCCCCCATTAAGTTTATAAGAGACCTGATCATCGGGAGGACAATAGCTTCCATTTGTGAATTTCCTACAACACCCAAAAGCTTCAGGAGACAGCCAAACAAGAAAATCATCAAGCCATGAAGCAGCAGGTTTAGCTATATAACTCGACTCTGGTACTAAAGATGCTCTAGCAATCTGCACAATTCAGGAATTTTTGCATTGGAATTATTTCAAACAAATTCTCGATGTACAACTAACTACATATGTTACTGGAGTCCCGTGTGCATGGATTCAATAATCATATTCCTATTTGTTATCCATTCAGTATTTTTAGTTGATAAAATGCAACTGGAGAAAACAAACAGAAAAATACATATATGAAGCATTCTTAAATAGAAACATCCCTCACAGTGGAAGAAAATCCAAGCTCACCCTCTTACGAAAAGATCTAATGCTTTTCAGAGACTAGTGTGTACATTGCATCATATTTGATGAACGATCCAGAAGAGACAAATATATTATATGTATGCTTTGCTTCTAGATGTTACAAGTCAGTGATATCGGAAAAAGTAACATAAATTCGAGATTGGGTTTCCTCAAATATAAACAAAATAAGTTCTCGTTTACATTTAAAACAAATATATTCATTAGATTCAGTACGATCTTGCTATCCTCGATAAAAATACTTGGCAAGAACAACATGAAGAGTTATTCTCAATAAAACATTTAAATCTTAGAAGCTCACAAGTCGTTTATCATTTATTCAATTGAAACTCTATAGTCAGCAGAAAAAGGAAGAAAACTAACTGATATTCGTAATCTTGAAAGTAACATCTCCTAAGACAAAGAGTTTACCTCATTTAGAAGAGAATTAGAATCACACTGGCTGATGGAACAAAGCTGGTTTGTTTGTCTTGATTCAGAACTGAGGATACGAAAAACATGAGCGTGATAAGAAATTTATGGAACCCTAAAATTAATATTGGAGTTTGAAGCTACTTCAGAAGTGAATAAAGTTTTCTTTTTGTAACTATTTCCTAATAAATGTTTTTCCTCACTTCACTAAGAACTATTAACATGCAGCGAAAGTGTCCTTAGAAATTTATCACTATTCTATTTTTCTTTGTAGAAATCATGGGTAGAGGCTGATATCACTTAAAGATATATCTGAAGCTTAATATTACACCAATGTGAAATTAAAGATTAATGGCACTTGAATATATAAACAAATATACCTAAAATTGTAGTTTTGCACTACAAAGTAGAGTGGGGGACCAATTCTAAGATACTCAGATATGTTGCTAAAGTAGCCCTGCAGGACGAAAAGAAGTAAAATTAAAGGCAATCAAGTTTTGGATTGGATGTTAAAATTATACTGAGCACAACAGAAGTATTAAGCTTATTGAGACCTGAAGATACGAGTCTCGAGGAAGAACAATTTGCTGTTCTAAACCAGGTTGGATTCTTGTACATAATGCCTTCACGAGTCAATTTAGAGAGATTCAATAAGTTACTATTACATTACAGCTATCATATGACATTAGCAAAGAGCAAAAGCTTTAGTCAACAACTTACTATGCTCGCCAATGTAAAGGCACTAAAAGCACAGACAACCAGCAGTTTCACAAACCACAGGCTCAAGATGGGAGCATGAATTTCCTACATCAACGGAAGCAACTCTTACTATACAATAGTGAAGCACATGAAAGATCTTACAAAAAAATCTTAACCAAAAGCCACAAGAGAGGAGAACATGGATCAATAAATTTAAATTAAAGTCTCTAGAACAATTTTGAATTGCTAAAATAAGTAAAGTTCACTGAAGAACCATGGACAGGACAAGAAAGAAAGAACGAAAGAAAGAACTCTACTGTGATAATTACAGAACATTCTTGCCAGTCTCCTCGAGGAATATCCTAATTAATTGGTATTCGAAAATAATAAAAATATTTAAAAACGATAAAACGAAACATTTCATCTTTATCTCTTACCTTCATATATCTGACCAGCAGGCCAGGTTTCTGTTGATGATGATTGCCTACCATTTCACAAGGACACTTTGTTTATCATAGATCTAAAACAGGAATATGATAACGTGAACAAAAACAGTTGCCAAAACTTTCCACAGGTACCTTGATCCATCTCCACATTTGAACCAGACACCTTTATACAAGGAAAGCAATCGACCCTATTATCCTCAGCCCTCAAGAAGTCAAAAACAATCAAGGAAACAAATGAAGTCACTTGTAGAAGAAAATCCAAGAGAACAGCCAGTGCTGCAAAATTAAACACGGTACAGAGATTAAGATCATAATCGTTTAGTTGGAAGTCTAAAATTCGCATGGTTTTCGAAACTCGTACCTGCAAACATGGAAAAAACGCGGATAGCTGGCATAGGTATGAAACTCCCAACTGCAAATGCCAAGACCTCAGACAGACTAGCTAGTGTCATAGACGGGCCAACCTCTACAAGGGCATTGCTAATTCTTCCCTCTATAGGCAATTCTACCTGCTGTCTCTTTACAGCATGTACTAGTATGCACATGTTGTCTACCCCAACCTGACAAACATGGAAAAGTATTACCAATCAAGTCTTCAAGAGCAGATATGAATTCATGCTCAATTAAAGTAACAGTGTATAAAGGTGGTTCAGTCCTAAATACAAATGCCACCGTTTCAGATTAATATTTGCTTTCCAAATATCAGATATTGTGGAACTCGTCAATTCTGAGTGAAAGTAAACATTAACAATGCTAATTGAAAGATGATTAATTTGTCATATGTCAGTGTATCCATGTTGGAAAAGATGAGTAAACAAGACCCATTGGCAAGTTTCTAATTTGTTTAAAATGCCGAGCAACATCAACTTTTTCTCAAAATATAAGCCATTTTAAAGTTCGTAAATTCAAACAACGCTAAATTTGTGCATTCGCTAACTCTAGGTTTGATTTGAACTGTTGCACCAAATAAATGAATTGTGAGCATATTTTGATTATATTATTCTTGCCTTTTTTTCTTTTTTTTTTTCCAAACTGGATACAGTACTATTTACTATTTGTACTAGTACAAAGTGGAATCTTCATTCTTCATTTTACCAGATATTTAGCAAAGCAATTTGTGAGTGCAAAAGGAACCAAACAAGAGACTAAAAAAGCAAGTCAGTCCAAAAGCAATATGAAGTTGCTCGAGCAAAATTTAAGAAAACTTACTGCTAAAACAAGAAAAGGGATGACTTCCATTATTATCAGGGTTGATTTTACTCCAACTGCACTGAAAAATCCAACTGATCCAAGTACAGAGAGCACGACAAGTATAACTCCTGACAGCCCAAGCAATACCTTTTAAAGAAAACATACTGGTTAACAAATATAAAGAGAACCTGTATCGATATTTTTGTCAACAAAAGGATAATCGTTAGAAAACAATAAATATGCAACCATACTGACGCAATACAAAATAGATTGTAAAGTAATTTTTAATATGTTCATCATTTACCAAACAGAAAAGGATAAATTTGACAGGAGAACAAAAACAACCCAATATCATCCTCAATAAGCCCAGGAAACTTTTAAATAATCTAAGAAAATCAGCCTGTGGGTAGATTATACCTTAGAGGAGACATAACATGACGAGAACCGAGGAGCATCTCCGAGTGTCAAGGATATGTAAGCAAACATTACGAGATAGCTTATCTGAAACAGAAAGTGATGAATAACTCTCATTGGGTAAATATGAGAGAATCGAGAATTATGGATCATAACTATTATGAATGGACAAGTTTCAGTTATTTAGATACATAAGGAAAATTTTCTTGCTCCTCTATATATATTAACAGAAAAGGAAAGCACCCAGATAGAGAGAGAGAGAGATCCATTCCCCTACCAAGATGGTAATAGCATCTGCAGTACTTTCTCTTTTTAACTCTTCCTCAATAGAGCTTTCGGATGAAAATGCCAGTGTTAAATTTCTCGACTGCACCATGGGTAAGAGCTCCTCCTGCATGAATGGACTGATTGAGTATAGATTTTTTTTGCTACATAAAGCATGAGCAACGTCTCGCTCAGACAAGTTAAATTCAGACAAGATCGCGGTCTGCAGTTCTTGTTTGCAGCCGAATTAAATAGGGACTTTTCAAGTATTTTGAGATTATTGTGAGCAAAAGACACTTTATTATGTGCATATACATCTGAAATTCTGTATGGCAATAGCTAGGTTCTAGATTATGTATTAAACAAAAACTAGAATAATCAAGTTACTTCCAACTTTATCATCTTCTTTCATGCCCACCAAGCACTTCAAGTCATTAGGTAAAGAATAGAATTAATTTTTATATTAGGTCTGGATGTAGATAACAAAAGAAAAACTTATCCGTGACCAGATCATACAATGAAAGCTTGGGGTTCATGGTTACATCAATAGCCCGTATAAAGATTGTAAATGAACTGGATAACAAATGTAAACCTTTGCAAGCTGAATGAATGCCTTTTCCCAAGCCTCAGCCCTCTTGGTTCCATTCCCTTCCTTGTCAACTTCATTGTTTACGGGATAAGTCACAACAAAAGCAGAAGCCTGTTCGCAAGGAACAGTTGAGTTAAATATACACACACTTGTATTTCACATGAGAAAAAAAAAATAAAAAATAATAATAAATAACAACCAGCAAAGGATAAAAAAGTACCTCAAGATAGTTATTTCCCGGAAAACCACCAACTGCAGTGCTAGGGTCAAGAGGTGCTTTAAATGCACTTGCGCATGTTTCTGCTGAACTAAAATGCTAAAAATTTGCATTCGGATCACACGTTAGTCTACTTATCTCATGAAAAGAACATAAAGAAATTCCATTTGGGTGTGAGGAAAAATAAACGGACTCTAAAAGTACCTGAAAACAGTATTCGATGTGATCAAGGCCCCCAAAGCTGTCATAATTTTGAGGATCCATCTTGAAATACTTTAACAAAATAAACGATTGCTAAATATAAATAACTTCATGATTGTTTTTAAAAAAGGAAAAAAAAAAAAAAGAGAGAGAGAGAGAGAGAGAGAGAGAGAGAGAGAGAAACAAAGAACACAGTCTATGAGGCCATCCATGAACTAGTGAATCAGCAAAAGCAGCAATAATTGAATAAACATCTAGTACTAAGAACTGGGGAAATGAAGAAGTACATAGGCCTATGTGAATAAGCAGAACAGCAATAAATGAATAAACATCTAGTGCACAGATATGAGGAAGCTTTATGAATCGAGTTTCATACATGCAATCAGTATAAGATAATCAGGTTAATCCCAAATTACCTGAAGAACACTTTGAGTGGCACAATCCTTTCCAAGTGGCTTCAAGCAAATGTCAGTAAGAGATACCATTGAACCAGAATTATTTGCTCTGATAGTGTCCACCTAACACAATTATAATCTTTTATGAAGCATCAACTTCATCCAGAGTAGAATAAGAAAATGACATACAATTTACATAAAAACCAAAAAATGCCTATTCGTCATCACCTCGAGAAAGTAATAAAAGTATTTACCCTTTTTTGTATATCAAATAATAATTTGATATTGCTATCTGTCAAGATGCTTGGAGCTTTTCCACGTGAATCTGGAATTGTTGCTATTATGAGCTGAAATATTTTCAACATAGCATTATGAATATAACACATTATCATCCAGCAAAGCAACAACTAAAAACTCTAAACTACCTGCTCAATCCTGTAAAATGGGGCAAGATGATTGTCAAAAAATTCCTTCTCCTTGGCAGCTCTACTTCCGGGACCCACCCATAGCTGGAAAGGTAAGATTACAAAAACTTGTCTGAATTTTGAAGGATTTTAGATTATATAACAGAATCAGTTTTCATAATAATTGACTATGCTCAGCAAGTAATAGGCAATTTGACAGTAGCAATAGTTGCAGGGGAGGTTTCTAGCATACCTTCTCAGGTCTTGTCTCCACTTCAAAACGAATAAGACCTAGACAAAGCACAGCAACTGTAGCAATTGATAAGCATAGTACGAGCATGGGATTTCGGGCCACCCATGTTCCGTATTTCCTAAGACAGAACATTCCACCAACCATGTCAACAAGTCAATCATAAAGAGCTGCTACATGCAACAAACTCACTTAACGGTATCTAAGTTACCTATAAAATCTTGACATATATCCTTGCAAAACTGAGAGCTGCACACCATTATTAATTTGAGGTACATCCTCGAGCACCTAAGAATTAAGAAAATTAAAAGAGAAAACTTCGTCACGTATCCAGCATGATATTGAGTTTAAGAGTAACACTTCCAGAAAACATCGCCACAGATGAAGAAGTTATACAGCGGAAAAAAGGCAGCATACAGATATTGATATATACCTGCATAGGTATATTCTCGTCCTTTTGGCTGCTCTTACGGCGAACATTGGTACCATTTGGGACAACAATTATAAGTTTTGTTTGGGGAGTAGGACTAGTCCTTTTTCTGTGGAGGAAACCCCACCCGAGGAATATAGTGGCAATTACAATGTACACTATTGCCATTGCAACTTCGACGCATTTTGCCTGCATTTAACAAGATCAGAAAATGCACGTAAGTTTGAATTGCTGACATCGCTGCCTAGCATTAAAAAAAAGGGTGTCACATAGAAACAAGGGATGAGTAAAGGAAAAAAAAATGAAACTCCAACTATTCAAAAAGTACCCAAGTTATTCTTCAGAAGTAAGAGCTGCAAAGAGCCCGTTTATTTATTTTAGTTAGTTTTCCCTTTTCAAAATCAGCATTAAAGGCTCAAAAAAGTGGGTTGCTATAATTTAAAAAAAAAATAAAATAAAATAAACTAACAATGCGAGGGAAGGTAGTTACATTAAACATGAATAAACACCGAAAGGAAGAAAACTTCAAGATAACAAAGCTTTTCCGTTTGGCTAAGCCTCAAGACGGCAGCAATCATAATTTGACCTAAAAACAATTAACCAAACATCTAACTAAATTTTACTCACATTAAGAGACCCTATTGCCACCGAACAGGAATCTTGCTTAGGCGATGCAACAGGTTCAGAACTCGAGCATGCTGATGCTGAAGGACAATCACCGCACGAACAACCTAATGAGGTGTCACCACATGAATACGAGGATACATTCAAGGAATTCATTCCCGATGATTCTGGGGCCACAGGCAAGAAATTGATAGCAAAGGGTGAGCCTGGTAACCCTAGCTCAGCCCGTCTACCGATAAATGCAAACCACTCTGTCATACAAAGTCACTAATGAGTAAAGGCCTGTGAACCACAAAAATAAAAATAAAAATAAAAATAAAAATAAAAATAAAAATTGTCTGGAAAAGAAGGTGAACGGGAAAGTTAGTGATCAGGTGATTTCGGGGCAAGAAAAATGAAAAAATTGACTTACCACTAAAATTTTTAGCACCAGCGCCGATGAAATCTATAGCTCGAGAATTCATGGATCCAAATTTTACATCTTTGCAGGATTCAAACATTCGCTCACCAAAAGCATCAGTCACGTAATAATCAATCCCGTCAACAGTCGAATTTCTCCCAACCTGGACTAGTCACACAAGAAAATAAAACAGCCGTGCTCAAGATGTAACAAAATAGATTCTTTTAGTTGCATATTATGTAACAGATCCTTTTTCTTCCTCATATGTAAAGAATCGAAGTCAGCAGGATTGAAGAAAATGACTGGACTCGAACAACTCACCCGGGAAACTGAGGTCACGTTAATAAATTGACTTTGATTTGGAGAACAGGTGAGCTCACAGAACAGATTCAAGAAATTTCTCAAGCAAGCTGGACAACCTACAACAAAAGGAATGGCCTGCAACAAGTAAACTAAGAGAACATAAGTTCCTTCTGTTTGGTAATCTAAATGAGACACGGGAAACCTTGGATTAGGCAAGATCGATTCTTAAACTTTGCATTCCATCATCTTTTAATCTAATGACCCTGTATATTACACAACACTGGATATGTAATAGGCAATCATTACAAGCTTATGAGAATCCGGTTTCTTACTTGCTGGATTTGTGTTCGTAAAACATCAAACTGCTCCGCCGTACAACACACATTTCCAGTAATTGTAGGGCACAAACTTTGAATTTTTTGTGATAGTAATTCGTCTGGCTGCCAGCAGAAAGTTCAAAAAAACAAATAAACTAAACACTAAAACATCAAAAACTGAAATATAAGAATCCAAAACAAAGACACATACTAGTGAATAGCAGCTATCTGGTTAATCAACTCTACTAGAGGAATAATCAATTGCATATTTCTTTCTTTTTTTTGTTTTTGTGGATACAAGAACCAATATTACTTGTAAACTATGAATAAAGGACAATACTACCCATATGAAGAAGATGGCACATACCTTGACAGCAGGAGCCCCAACAGGGCAATTGAGTACTTTACCGTCACCGCGCTTCCCACAGATGCCATACATGGCACAGTACCCTTCTGAATGTCTTCCTCTGACAATCAAAAAGAACATTTGACAATCAAAAAAGAACATTCGCCAATCAAATTTAGATCTGTCTTTCTCAATTCCGATAATCAAACTCTGATAATCGATCATTTGATTAAATTTGTTTTTCTTTTTCTTTTTATATCTACACTCAACATAACTTGCCCGCAGAAACAACTTCACATGAAGAACATCAGTCGAAGCATTTAAACAACAGAGACCCTTATAAAAGAAAGAAAGAAAAAAAAAAAAATAATGTAAACTTGAAATTAATGAGCTTTACTCACGCATACAAACAAGCATGCACAACGCACTGATAAAAAGTCAAACAATCGGAAAGAGCACACATACCCTCCGGCGATATTATCATTCAACAGAAACCTCGTAGCCGACCGCTCGGCACTAACCACCACCACCACCACCACAAAGAATACCTGAACAACAAAAAAAAAAAAAAAAGATGAGAGTTTTTTCAACCCGTGAAGCTACAGTGACCTCATAAACACATTTCCCCGGCGTCAGAGCTGCCGGGAACAGATACTTTCCGGCTAACTCACCGCCAACATAAAAGGCATGAAGGCCCTCCCCATTTCCCTCCCCTGTGGTGGGCCCATTGTAGGAAATGGACCTCCAAAAATCTGAACCCCCGCAATGCACCGTCTATATTCAATAGAAGCTATATATAGAAATAGGATAAAGCAAAAGTCAAACGGCAAAAGGCTGTGTATGAAATTATGGCGCTCTGTCCAGTTAAGGATGCACAGTATTGATTTATTTTAGTATCTGTGTGTGTGTGTGTGTGTGAGAGAGAGAGAGAGAGAGAGAGAGAGAGAGAGAGAGAGAGAGAGAGAGAGAGAGAGAGAGAGAGAGAGAGAGAAAATGTGTTGTTAAATTAAACGAGTCTGACTCGACTCGGCTCGTTAATACTCGAGTTCGAGGCATTAGCGAGTCGAGCTTGTTAATTAAGAACGAGTTTCAACACATATACGTATTAAGAATTTGAAAATAGAAACGACACACATCAATCACAGAAACGTGAGATGAAACCAGATTTCTATTAGTAAATACTCCATCCATTTTGAAATATAACGCGTTTAAGGGTTTTGCACAAATATTAAGAAGACATTAATTAATAAGTAAATTGACTAAACTAACCTTATTTATTGAAAATCACTATGTATTTATTGTTATGGTTGCAGCTATAAATGAGGGTATAATTGGCAGAAAATGAAATAATTTGTCTTGGTTTTGATGTGCGCCTTATATTTCAAAAAATTTGAGAATTCCTTATATATGCTTTATATTTCAAAATAGAGGGAGTAATAAGTTTATTATAAATAAATAAATAACTTAACTGACAGTTCTATATTGTCATATAACACATATAGTCGAATCACAGAAATCTGTTTGCCTTGAAGAAACAGACGCTCCAATACTGTGCACGAGTACTACACCTTTTCTCCCAGGATAAGACGGCTCAAAGTGTGAAGACTGCATATCTAACACACTCACCTCGATCAAAAGCTCAGTCGCCAAGAACCCTTACTTTTTCTTAGACTTGTAGAGGTAAAAGAGAATATATGTATATGTTTCTTTTCTTTTCTTTCACTTTGTTGGTGTGTCCTTACCGTAAGCTTGCATGTGCTTTTTATACTGCTTCTAAGACAAGCATGCATTTAATGAAGTGAATATGGCTTAATGCCTTCGTTAAGACAAAAGTAATGAAACTTTGAGTTTCATCACACTTTTCATCTCACAGTTCAAAACCGAACACGGTTATGTTTTCTCCACAATGAATTTGGACAATACATTAGTAACATTAAACACACCATTATATCTAAGGATTCCCACATAGAACAAATCCTCTTTTCTCATGTAATGTTTATTACAACAATCCCCCACAAAATCCTTAGATAATAATTATCAGGGTCATCATAAATTGCTTTCAGTAATTGTACCTTCCGGTTTGAGTCACTTCCTAAGTTATCCAACTTCTGTCATCACCGAAATGAATGGATCTATACCTTAAATTTATGTCGTGAGTGTAATGACGTTCATTAGTAACAACAACTTATAGTCTATGTTCTGATATTTAGGGTTGACTCATTAGGTCATATGTCACGATCCTGTTTCATGAGTATCTTTAAGGAATAACCCTTTCCCCTAGTCGCGGACAAACAACTATACTCATTCAGTTGTGCATCTCCAAAGATGCACTGCTTACATCTTGTTTAGAAAACTCAACCCAATTCAGAGATAAACTCTTACTATACTTGCAGTTAACAGCACCTTCCAGGTATGCTAGGGAAAGAACTCATCATACTTTAAAGTATCAGTCTTGTAATTTTAGATGCACAATTATACATTCAACAGCTTGTTTATACCACATTGAACCTTCCTTGGGATCTCCACTTGGAAGTTTGGGTTGCTACTTCAGATGTATCTCATATGGGTTATTCAGTCCCATCCCTAACCTGGATTTTTGGACTAAAGATAGATCAAGTCCTTTAGTCAAAGGACACCCAAATTGTCTTTAGAATCAACAAAGTCAATGGCCATAACCTTATCAGACACTAATTCCCTTATAGACTTTAGTCTAACTTGGATGTGCCTCTTTGTTTTGTGATTGAACTTTTGACTTCTTATTTTTGCAATAGTGGTTTTACTATCACAATGCACTGGTATTGGAGGTAAAGGCTTGCTCACAATGGGTAGTTGCATCAACAACCCATACAACCATTCTGACTCCATTTCAATCGTGTCCAATGCACATAACTCAGCCTCAAACGCCGTGTTACCAAAGTCTGTTTGATAGACTTCTAGAAGACAGCGCCCCCACCCAAGGTAAACACATACCATGTACATCCGTTAGTTTCGGAATTTTTAGCTATCCGGCTAGCATCACTATATCCCTCAAGTACACCAGGAAATTGGCTATAGTGTATAGCCAGTGATATTGTGCCTTTAAGGTACCAAAGTACCCTATCCAAGTCTTCCCAGTGAGTTCTATTAGGACAACTTGTATATCTAGCTAACTTTGACGCAAAAAACGAAATATTTGGTCTCATACCATTAACTAAATATTGCAAGCTTCCAATAATTTGAGAATATCTCAATTGAGCCACAGAAACACCACTTTGATTTTTTAAAAGAGCCACATATGGATCATATGGAGTTTTAGCAATTCTACAAACATTATAACCATATTTCTCAATTATTTTCTCAACATAATGAGATTGAGAAATGGCTATACCTTTAGTTGAACGAATCAACTTAAGGCCAAGAATTACATTTGCCTCTCTCATATACTTCATTTCAAATTTATGATTTAGCTCTTCAATTATTTCATAAGAATATCCTATTAACATAATATCATCTAGGTATAGACATAAGAATATACAATTATCACCTTTCACTTTAAAGTATATGCACTTATCATTATCATTTATCACAAAGCCGAATGATAAAATAGTTTTATAAGACTTTTCATGTCATTGTTTAGGTGTCTGTTTCAAACCATAAAGAGATTTAACAAGTTTGCAAACTTTATGCTCGTTACATGGAGCTATAAATCCCTCAGGCTGATCCATGTATATTTCTTCATCAAGATCTCCATGTAAAAAGGCAGTTTTTATATCCATCTGATGAATATAGAGATTATACACAGAAGCCAAGGCTATAAGCACACGGATAGTAGTTAAACGAGAAACAGGTGAATAGGTATCAAAGTAATCTATTCCCTCTTTCTGTTTAAAACCTTTGGCAACCAAGCTGGCTTTAAACTTATCAATGGTTCCATCAGAATTAAGTTTCTTTTTGAAATCCATTTGCAACCTATTGTACTACACCCCAGAGGTAGTTCAACTAACTCCCATATCCCATTGGAGACAATAGAGTCAATCTCACTTTTGATAGCTACTTTCCAATGCTTAGCTTCTTGTGAAACCATAGCATCTTTGAAAGTTATTGGCTCGTCCTCGATATTGTAAGTGATAAAATCACTTCCAAAATCCGTAACGATCCTAGCTTGTTTGCTCCGTCTGGGGGTTCATCCAATTATGTTTGTAAAGAATTCGAAATACTTAGATTATCCCCCACATTTGTCAATTTTTTCACATGTTCAGGAACTGATGATGATGTAAGGGCCGCATCCAAGATATCATTTTTGGGTATTCCCGTTTTCATAGGAAAAACATCCTCAAAGAATGTACCATCACAGACTTCAACAATTGTGTTTACATCTATGCCAACAATTTCTGATTTAACAACCAAAAATCTAAGAGCATAGCTAGTTTCCACATATACCAAAAAATCTGCATCAATAGTTTTAGGTCCTAGCTTTTTCCTTTTGTGCTCAGGTACTAGAACTTTTGCAAGACAGCCCCATACACGAAAGTACTTTAAGCTAGGTTTTCTACCTTTCCATGATTCAAATGGAGTTATTTCATTGTATTTCAGAGGGACTCTATTCAGAATATGGTAAGCCTTATTCAAAGCCTCTCCCCACATGTATTTAGGCAATCTAGAATCAACAAAAGACTACTGATCATATCTTTAAATGTTCTGTTTTTCCGTTCTGCAACCCCATTAGACTGAGGATAATATGAAGGAGTTTCTTCATGAATTATGCCAAAATTTCGACAATATTCAACAAAAGGGTTAGATTCATATTCTCCACTGATCTTAACCTTTTAAGTTTCTTACCAGTTTGTGTTTCAGCTTCATTTTTTAAAATAATAAATTTCTCAAGTGCTTCACCATTATGTTTAATTAAGTAAACATAACAATACTTACTATAATCATCTATAAAGGTCATAAAGTATCTTTTAAGGTCTTTAGTCACAATACCATTGAGACCGATATCCTCTTCTTACGATCAACTCCTTCTTTCCCTCAAGTGTGCGATTGCTCTGCAATTAAATAGAACAATAATTATGGTAATAGATTGTCATAGTTGAACATTATATACTAGTAATTAATATAATATCTAGACTTAGTTAAATACGAGAGAAAGTGAAATTTTTCTTTTAATTTGCATTGCTTGCAATAACATCATCAAGATATTAATTTGTCAAAGTTTTTAGCCAAAATTAAATCTTACGATGTCGAATCAATCACTTTTTTACAAAAAAAAAAAAAAGAAGAAGCGATTTAAGTACAAGGAATTAATCGCAAAATATAATTTTTATAACTCATCAAATTCTGAATCTAATGGCAAATGGCAGTTCTTTTCTCAAACATTAAATGCATTAACTGAAAAACTCAAATACAACAGTCAGAATGGCAGTTGAGTCTCCCTTTTCTAGCAATTCACCATTTGCAATAGTGATGCCAAAGAAAAAAAAAAAGATAAAATAAAAAGAAGAGTTCAAAATAATTTTGAAATGGTTATAAAAAGGTTAAAATATTCTTTCAAGGGAAAGTTTTCTTACTTCAGAAGCATGAGTACTAATTCAAGCTTTTAATAAACAAATTAAACCCTTTGTTTTATGAATCAAGCCAAATTTTACAAAAGATAATTGAAACTTACAGTTTTCCTATGGAACCAACGGTTGGCTCCATAATGGAGTTAACCTTCTATATACAACAAGTAAACCTACCATGTTCTATGATT